TATATATATATCTATATCTTGTGATGTTGAATAATTTCAATGTAACCTAAATTTCTCAATATCACACAGAGGTCATATAAAACCACTATTTCCCAATACTGTTTCATCAATTATTGATGAAGATGTCATGCTAAAGAGGATTAAGATCTCTTTTTCTCTTTTTATGCTCTTACAATTCACTGAGTCAAAATTTACCAAATGTCTTTTATATGGAAACCACTGAGAAAGAAATAGCAGATGAGATACACACTGAGTGAGTTTGAACACTGAAAGTGAGGAATTGGCTCTGTCATTTACCAGCATTGTGACTCTAAATAAAAGACACAACTTAAAGTTTCTGATCTCCGCCCAGTGATTTTTAGGTTATTTGATAACCAAGCACAACTTTTCTATAATTCTCTTTAGTGCATTTTTTACCTCCTGATTTCTCAAGCTGTAGATCATTGGATTTAACATGGGAATCACCACCACATAAAACACCGAAGCAAATTTATCTAAATTCAGAGAATGGCTTGACTTGGGCTGCAGGTACATAAAAATGACTGTTCCATAAAATATTGTGATGGAGGTCAGGTGGGAAGCACAGGTAGAAAACGCTTTCTGTCTTCCTTCAGCAGAATGAATCCTCAGGATGGCAAAGAAGATGAAGACATAAGAAATTAGCACAATCACTAGAGAGCAAAGAGTATTGAACCCAGCGATGATTACCAGCATCAGCTCTTTGACGTGAGTGTCAGAACAGGCCAGCTCAAGTAAAGGAACATCGTCACAGTAGAAGTGGTTGACCACGTTGGAGTTACAAAAAGACAAGTGGAATGTCGCCGCTGTCTGTACGAGACCCACAGTGAATCCGTAAACGTATGTGCTAGCAATCATTCGAATACAGACTTTCCTGGGCATTAGAATGACGTAAAGTAAAGGGTTGCAGATAGCGACATATCTATCATATGCCATAACTGAGAGCAAATAAAATTCACAAACTGCAAATGTGATGAAGCAGCATAACTGAATGGCACATGCATAAAATGCTACACTTTTAACTTCACGAAAAAAATTTACCAACGTGTTTGGGGTGACAGAGGAAGTAAAAGAAAAATCAACAAAAGCCAGGTGGCTGAGGAAAAAATACATGGGTGTGTGAAGCTGAGGACTGACTTGGATTAGCA